GAAAAACTTTTTTAGAAAACTTATTACATGACCTAATATATTTTTTGAAAAGCATTTAGAGTTTTAAAAAATCTAATCTTAAAAGATACATTAAAATGTTAATGGATTGTCTCAGGATAGTGGATTATGAAATTATTTTTTAATTGTTTTAAATTGAAACATTTTTTATGTAGTAAGTGCACAAACTAAAAAGTATAATGAAGACCATTTTTGACAGTTATTCTGTAGTTTCTTTTCTTTTTTTTTTGGAGACAGGGTCTCACTATGTGATTGAGACTGACCTGGAACTCACTGTGTAGCCCAGGCTGGTATCAAACTCACAGCGATCCTCCTGCCTCAGCCTCCCAAGTGCTGGGATTACAGGTGTGCACCACCATGCCCAGCTGTAGTTTCTTTTTTACAGGTATATCTTCACAGGAAATAAATTTTTTTCTACCTAAATAGTCTGTTTCCTTTTTGTTGGATTTTTCCTTGATTTCTGTTAGATGCTATCCTCAAATCTCTGATAATATTTGGCATTCTACTCAAACTTTAAGAGTTCAAAAACTAAAAATCTGACAGGAAGTTCTGAATCCTTGAGCAGGACTTCTTGACCTTGACCTTTATTGTAGGGTAATCTTGTTGAGGCCCTCCTTTGGAGTTGCCCCAAGATTCTCTTCAGAGACAAGTTCCTTTACTTATAATTCCAGAGAATCCTGGTGCTTCTCTTTCCTTGGTGAACCTCAAAAGTACTTCCAGTCACATTAGTGACTTTAAAACCTTTGCCTGGGCCCCAGTGTGGTGGCAAATGTTTGCACTCAGGAGGCTGAGACAGGATGATCATTGTGAGTTTGAGACCAACCTGGATTACATAATTCAAGGCCATCCTAGACTGTAGAACAAGACCCTGTCTCAAAAAACAAACAAACAAAAACCTCTTACCTGATTTCACTGGGAAACAATGCTTTTTCTCTTCAGTGATAAAAATTTATTACGGTATTTCACAAAATAATTTGTTTTTGCTTAGCATCATGAAGATATTCATACACTTGATCTAGCCAAAAGGCTGAAAAGCAATGGATATTCCTGTATTATTTATTCAGACACTAGGAAGAACAGTGAGCCTCAAGATAGTATGCTAAATTAAGTATGTATGCTTTTCAAGACAGAGTCAATGATTTTTGTTTTTGTTTTTGTTTTGTTTTATTTTTGGTACCAGGATCAAACTCAGAACCTTGTACGTGAGAGGCAGACGGTAGGAGTCAGTGTCTTTTATCAGATTCATGATCTCCTGATTGACCCAAAGGAGAATTCAGCAAAACCAAAAACAAAAAAATCAGCTTTTTTAAAAAAATAGACATTCCGTTGGAGATTTAGCTCAGTGGTTCTGCTGCCTGCCTTGCAAGCGCAAGGACCCAAGTTCAATCCCTGGTACCAAAAAAAACACAAAAAATAGACATTCCTAAACCTTGTGTTTACACCAGGAGAAAGTTCCAGGAAAAGACTCTATTTAACAGAATGCTCTTATGCTGACCTTTAGGTGGTGAAGTTGGCCCAGATTAGCTTGGTTGTAATACTGGAAAAATGGCATCCACTTGAATATTATCAGACACACATAAGACAGATGTTCATCATTCAAAAGCATTTTTGTCCTAAGTAATTAAGAGTTCCGTTTCAGTTCAGTCAACTCCTTAACTAATGGGTTAGGTCCCCACATCTGCCCCTGTGCTAAGTTTCTATCCGTGGCCTCATGCATGCTAGACAAACATTTTACCACTGCTCTGTACCCCACTTATGCATGATTCTCAGAATATAGAGTATATCAGAATCTAAGATGCTTTAAAAATCAGATTCTGTAGGCCGGGGATTTAGCTCAGTGGTTCAGTGGCTTGCCTTGCAAGCTCAAGGATCCGAGTTCAATCCCCGGTACTGGAAAAAAAAAAAAAAAAAAAATCAGATTCTGAGATTTTACTCACAGGACTTTGATTCCTTAGATTGGAGAAGAAGTTTACATTTTTAATAGTTGTCTTTGGTTCTCCTGATGCAGATGATCATTGGATTATGTTATAAAATATACAAATCTAAATTTGCTACTCATAATAAAATGTAAGTTTTGTTTGTTCAGAAGAAAGGGAATTGGGAAGATTGGTTGTCTGCTCTTAAATATAATTCACTCCTGAACACTTAGTAATCAGGATAAATTGTCCAGCATTTTTTTGTTTTGTTTTGTTTTGGACAGGTTCTTGCTATGTAGTTTAGGCTGGCCTTGAATTCACTATGTACTCCTGGCTGGCCTTGAACTCAGGGCAATCCTCTGGCCATGGCCTCCTGAGCGCTAGGATCACAGGTATGAGCCACCACGTCGAGAAGTATAGCATTTTTATGCAAACAGCCAGTACACTTACATTTTAGCGGACCCAGCTCTGGCCTTCTTACAGCCAAGCCAGCTCACAAAATAGATCTACCAGGAGATGTGCCCATGTAAAGCCCATGCAACCATTTTCAGACCATACCCTTGACCCTAGAATTCCCTGCCCTGATACCCTCTTCCAAGTCTTCTGCAGGCCTCTTCCCTCATCAGAACCACTGTGTGCACTTTTAAGTCCAAAGGATTACTGTGAAATAGCTTAAATTTTGCCAGATAGTCCTTTACCTTCACCTTTTTCTCTCTTCCTCCAAAAACCTCCGCTCCCTTTGCTATATCAACAGTTTTCAAATAAGAATTAATCATATCCTTTGACACTGAGGAAAAGATCCTTCAACCTATAATTAATTTTGCATAATTACATCTGATAAAACACTCCATTGTGTTAATTGAAATACATTTTTTTGTTTTTTGAGACAGGGTCTCACTATGTAGTTGAGACTGACCTGGAACTCACTATGTAGCCCAGGATGGTCCCAAACTCACAGTCATCCTCCTGCCTCAGCCTCCAAGTGCTGGGATTACAGGCATGCGCCACCATGCCCGGCTAATTGCAATACATTTTTTTAGGACATAGGAAAGCCACAGCTTTTCCAAACAATTGAGAAGTTGTGGTTCTTTTGCCATACTCCTACAACAGCCAGGAAGAAGAAAGACATGTGTTCCATAATATTTCTTTAAAGTGTCTGGGAAAAAAAAGAGAAAGGAAGAGATTAACTGACTCAGTTTAACCCTCAGAGCTATAAATCATGTGTTGCAATAGGGTGATAGGATGTTGCATCAGAATATAGCAATTATAATGCAATGAGTATGACAGCCTCAAGGAAGTCTTTTGGTGCTCTGTGCCTTTTCCCTAAAGATTCAGCTAAGTTTAGATTTCTTCTTTTCTGCTAAGGAGAAAGGTCTTTATAACCCATTGTACCTCACTGTAATTTTTGTTGGTTAGGGCAGGAGCATTTGTTTTTAGTTGAAAGTCTACCTGTGTCAGACATCACTGCACTGAGACCCAGCATTTCTCATGTTTCCCCTTGTCTCATACAAGCAGGGAAACACTGAGGTTTCTTCACTTCTTCCTGGAAGTCTGTCAGGAAAGCTGGGAGGTGTTTGGCAGGACTGTAATGTCTTTATTTTCAGAACCGTTAGTTTTGAAAGTGTATGTAATACTTCCTGAATGTTTCACATTGCTTTTATCTGAAGATTTGAAAGATAATGACCAGGAATTTGTCCCTGAGAAATGAGAATGAAGGTTGATAGTAAGGATAAGAGGCATAGAGAATATTTTAGCAAGATCTTTAATAGTTAAGATATTTGGTAATTAATAACTGTTTTTTAAGGTTTTTTAATTCTACAGTATTGTAGGAGAAAATTCTTGGTGTTTGGAAAAATGAAACAAGTGAAAGAATACCAAAATTAAAGTTTATGTTTAAAACACAAACTCCTGAGGACAGGACTGGTGTCTTAATTATATGTTTGTGCAAGTGATGTTATCCATGGTGGTGAGTTTGGGGGTTTGAAGGAATTTAGGCAAAAGTCTGGCAGATGATGAAAAGAAATCACTTTAATCCTGATAAAACTGCTTTTGGAAAGTGTGATTTAAATTTAGATGAGACAATAATCTCCAATAGGGAACTCTAGAATTAGTGAGGAACCCTTACCCCTATCCCGGTAACTACAGGTAGCATTTGACCTCCTCAGCTCTCCCCACAGGAGAGTCTGTCCCTGTAAAACTTCAGAGGGACAGTCTGATTCCCAAGAATGGAAGTAGAGAGAAGGAGCTAACTAATACATTCTGTTCCTCTCTCTTCCTCCCTAGTGAAAGTCACTCCTCCCTGAGGAAAGGGGGTAGAGAAGGCAAAATGTTTCTGCTCTAACTGCAAGTGATAGTGGTGTAGTGAAATATTATAGCAGAATGGAGAAACAACAGATTTTAATGATTTGTAGATCATTGTCATCATTTACAGAATATAGACACACTTTCAAGATAGTGTCTGTAATAGTTAAGCATACAGTCTTAAGGTCTGGGGATGTGGCTCAGTGGTGCCGTGCCTGCCTGGCAAGTGCAAGGTCCTGGGTTCAATCCCTGGTACCGGGGGGGAAAAAGAAAAATACGGTCTTGAAGTTCATATCTTCTAGAAACATAGTTGAAGTATTTACAGGTGGGCTGATAGGATGTCTGGGATTTACTTCAAGAATAAGGGGTGTAATGTATCTGAATTTTCCATGAAGTTGTTAAAAGTAATGAATGAGTACATGGAGTTCATTATTTTTTTCCTAGAACAATGAAGGCCTAGTTTAAATCTCAATTCTGCTCTTAGCTGTTGAACTTTAGCAAATTAACCGAGTCTCCATTTCATAATCTATAAAATGAGATATAATTAAATCTACTGCATAGGACTATGTAATGATTCAGTTAAATGAAGTTATGTGCCAATTACAAAATACACATAGCAAGCACTCAAAAATTGTTAGTTGTTACTATACCTGTAAAACAAAAATAGATCAAGATATCTTCTTAAACATGAAACATTTGCTTTCTTGCTATATATGTGTATTTTCCTCAGTTTGAGTGTATTAACTTGGATTTTTGTTTTAACAGCTCAGGTGCTTAAAAGGCCAGAGGAATTTCTCAGGCCAACCTCCTTTTGATGGAATCCACATTGTCAACCATTTAATAGGAGATGATGAATCATTCCATTCCTCCGATGAAGAGTTTATAGATAATTCCTTACAGGAAAGTGGCATTGGTTTTCCTTTGCACAGAAGATCTGTCCCAATGTCTTTGGACCCCACTGTGGCAGATGGTAGTGAGAGTGAAACAGAAGACAGTGTGCTACAGACCAGAGAGAGCGATCAAGAGGTTTCGAAGGAGCAGACCCCACGGAGAGAGTCATATTCAACCACTGTCTGACCATCACTGTGACCTGGACTGTGGATTTCTTTAAGGGATCAGTTAAGGGATATTTGGAACATACCTGATTCATATGTACATATATTATGTTTTACAGACTTACCTGCCTTTTATCTTTGCCAAACCTTCACTACTGATTTTCCATTGCCAGAAAGTAGACTGCAACATGGTTAACAAGTAAAATAAGTTTCTACCAGTATTACTGAATATTGTTTCTTGTTTATAAAATACAACTATCTAAACGTGGGAGCTGTTTTGAAGTTCAAAACTATGGAAAATTTAATTTTCTCCAGACAAACAACTCTTGTGCAATATTTTATGCTCTGTGAACAAATTGTATATTTATGTCTATTAATTTGTTTTCAAGGTAGTTGTCTATAGACATTTGATCAAGATAGATACCTGATTTTACTTTTTTTGTGTGTTTGGGAGATATTTTTTTCACTAAAATTACTATTTTATTAGTGATCTACTCAAGGTTCTCAAACACAAAGCTTTTTTTCTGTATGATTTTATAAATACAACTTAACTTATCTGTTTTGAGAGTTTTAATTTCTAATTTTTATGTGTGTCTAATGCTTCTGTGTGTAGTTACTGGTCAGATAGTAGATTAACTGCGAATATATTATTTGTACATATTTATAAATCTGCACCACCCCACACTGAACATCATTTTATCTGAGGAACACATATTTGCAAAATGACTGCTGTGGGCATTCTAACAGGATGTCTAAATAATAGGTTAAAATTTTTAAAAAATCAGACACTAATATTTTAATAGCTTTAATATTTTGCTTAGTATTCAACACTACCAGATTTATAACTTGTTCAAAAACACTATTGGTGATATACTTCGTGTATATGTAACTAATACATTTTTCATGATTAAAAAGGTTATAGTAAGGGCTGGGGATTTAGCTAGGTGGTTCCGCCGCCTGCCTTGCAAGTGCAAGGACCTGAGTTCGATCCCTGGTACCAAAAAAAAAAGGTTATAGCACATTAATTAGTGCTAATATTATACTTACTATAATTCAAACAGTGGGCTGAGGTCCAAGATGCACAACAATTATATCTGCAAATAATCTACGAACATTATCTTCAGATTGTCTCGTTTCTACCAAATAAATAAAGCCATAAGAATCCTTTTAAATTCTTTTGTATCATTTAGTCTTTTTTTCTTAGAAAAAACTAAATGCCTATTACTGATAAATTGGTGGAAATAACCAATTATCCTTATCCTATGGAAAGATGAAAGCAGTGTATTGACTGGGTACTTTCCACTTTCATTTTCATTAGCAGCTTGTGAAAAGAACAGCCATAGACAATAAGAGGAAAGTAAGATTCACTTTGTATGAAAGTACAGTTTTGCAGAGCATTATGTATGCAACAGCATGCATGAAACAGTTATGATAGAATGGAATAGAAGAGACAAAAGTAGTTTGCTATCTAAAACCAGAAGTTAAGCCTTATGCTGCAGTATGGATTGTTTTTCCAGCAAAGCCTTTGTAGCTATTTGTTTGCCTGATAAATGAGATTGAAAACATGCCTTCTGCGTTTAAATGCTAGTGGTTGAGTTCTAGTGGTTAAATTCTACTGGTTAGATAATTTACCTGTGGTGATAAGCTAATAATTAGCAGATTTTAATCCAGATCTGTCTGACACCAAAGCTTTTTAAAACGTCTAGCTAATGAATTTCTCATTTCCCTACTGTTCTGACAATATGACTTAAATAAATTAGTTTGTTTTTGTTTTTTTGTACCAGGGATCGAACTTGGGATCTTGCACTTGTGAGGCAGGTGGTGGGGCACCACTAAGCTAAATCCCCAGCACTGACTTAAATAAATATGATTTAAATATATTGCCTGTATATCTGCACTCATAACCTCTACACAGTTTACAAGTATAGATACTACACCTAGATACTACTTTCTAGAACCATAATGCTTTTGGGATTCTCCTTTGAAATTCTTTACTATCAGCCTAAGAAGGGGTTACTGCCCAAGTAAAGATGACGCATGGCCAGATTAGTGTCTTGACCCCTACATCAAGAAATTTGAATGGGGCTGGAGAGGTAACTCAGTGGTAGAGCACTTGTCTGTCATATACAAGACCCTGAGTTAGCTCATCATCACTGCAATAAATAAATGAATTAATTTTTAAAATTGGAGTGAACTATACAACATGCTGCAGCCCAAGGCTAATTCCAGTCAGCTGTATGCTTTTACTTTTTTAAATAATTTAGAGAAATTCAAGAGACTATCTTGTAACACATAAAAATAATATAAAATTCCAATTTCAGTGTCCTTAAAGTTTTACTGGAACACACCTATGCTTATCTGTTTACCATATGTTATGGCTGATTTTATACTATAATGGCAGAGTTGAGTAGTTGTAATGGAGACCATATGGACCATGTAGCATAAATATTTACTCTCTGGCCCTTGACAGAAAAGATTTGCTAACCCTTGATCTAGATACTCCAAAATGTTGTTTTTACTACTTGAGTTGAACTTAATAAAAGATCAAGCCATTTGCTAACTGTTGAGCTAATGATTTGAAATATTAAAATTTCCTCATTAATCAGTCATATACTGCAGAACAATTTAAAATGTAAAGTGTGCCAACTGTTTTATACACACCTTCTTTGATCTTTATTTTATGGTGTTGGAGACTGAACCCAGAGCATTATGCATGCTGGGAAGGTACTCTATCTTTGACCAAAATCTCCAACCAAGCTATTTTATAAGAAAGCTTTTGTTCTATAAAAAAATCTTGGAAGGATATCTGTACGTTTGCAGGATAGAGAAAGGAATGAATTCCAGAATGCTAACAGTGTTCTTTAAAAGATGAATCATTGATCTTGATCTTTAGGACATGCTTCATTAAGTTAAATGTTAATTTAACTTTAAGAACATATTACTAGAATCACATTTGAATTCTTAATTTTTAAAGATACTAGAGAATTTCCTAAGCATTCTTTCTAATTAGGAATTGAATATTAAAAGAATAGTGGTAAGTAAACTTTAATTTGTTGATTTATAATTTGGAAAATGAAAAACTAGAAATACTTCTTATTTAAGCTCTTTGATTTAAGCTAGGCACAGGGCCACGTGCCTTTTCCCCAGCTGTTTGGAGGCTGAGGCAAGAAGGTTACTTGAGTCCCAGGCAGGCTTCAGGACCATCCTGGGCAACATGCTGAGATTGCATTTCAAAATACACTTTACAAGAATTTTAAATCTCCCTGGCTTTTGGGATGCAGTAGGATAATATGCCCTGTTATGACTCCATTTCATTCAAGACATTTGGGGCATTGGATTATGTTCTAATATATTTTAACCTCTGATTTTTTTTGTTTCATATAAATGTTATTCACCTAAACACTTAGCATTGAAAAGTATTATGGGGAAAGTGAATGAAATGAATCACAGTCGAAAAACTTGTTCCCTTGGGATAGTTTACCTTGCTGGTATCATTGCTACCCTACGTTGATACACTGGGAGTAGAAACCACAGTGATCTGAGTAAGTGGAAATTGCATTGAAGTAATGAAACAGTTCAAGAAAACACTTCAACAGACTTTTTTAAAAATGGCGATTTTTTTCTTAGAAAAATAGTCAAAGGTAAAACTTTACAAATATACTTTTTTTTTCCTAGTTTATAGCCACTCAGCCATTTACTAAGGCGTTTCAATTAAATGGTCAGTTACTTTTCTTCAGCTCTGAACATGATGTAGCTTGTTACTCTCCAGATAGTGCCTTTGATTGAAAATAAGGTGTAAACATTTTGGAATATATTAATTCTGACATCATAAATCATTTGGTCCCTACTTTATCATTTACATAATATACTGTAATATTCAGATTTAAAGTAAAAATATATGAGTTCTTTTGGTAAAGTTCTTTCATGATGAGCTTGCCTCTTGTATCATACCAGCCATTGACAGCTAGCATTTTGTGAAATCAGTGATTTCTTTATTAAAACAAGTTTTAGCTTAAAAGTTTTGCTGCTTTACATTAACAAAATGTTTTAATTCACTTTCATTTAATTCTACTTAAATTGTAGAAATTAAAATTTCTAGTTAAAAGTAGAGTGAATGCTATTTATAATCCCAGTTTTTATATCACATCCATTGATCTACACATCTCTTCACTCCAAAGAAGAGGTGCTGGAATATTTTCAGTATACTACAGAGATGCAAAGTTACAATGTATTTCATTTTACTGTTGGAATTTTTTTATTATAACATTGTATGATAACCTGAAATGTTTACCTGTGCCTTTGCTTTAAACAATTAAAGCTTTCCATTTTATAAGAATTTGATTCCTTAAATTGTTCAACTTTAAAGGGGGAAGAGACCTCAAAACACTTGTTAAAGAATGTTTGGCCTGTCAGGAGATTTGTCTTAGTGGGTGTAAGATTTCTCTTTGTTCTATGTAAGTGCAGGGACTAATCCACCTGCCTGGCCCACCCACATGTTTAATGCCAAGCAGAGACTCTGGAATACGACTGACATTCAGTAAATATTTTTCAATTTTAGATAGACATGTCTAGATTTGTTTTCTTTGGGAACATGGTAACTGAAAATATCAGTGGCAATATTTTTATCTCCTGTAATACTTTAAGATATTAAATTAATTCAATAAGCTCATTCAAATGTGTGCTTTAAATATGCGTGCTTTAAATATGCATATGGAAGCCACTATGAAAATTATGCCTCTGCCACTGTATCACAATGTTTGTATTATTTAGTTCACAAGCAGTAGTTCACTCTGTTCTGCTCTGTGCCCAAGAGGATTTGAAGCACTTTATGAAGATACATGAAATATGACAAAGTAGCTATTTAATCCAGGGTTTCTATACTTTGGCACTATTAGCACTATCTGAGGCCAAATAATTTGTATTGCACGCGATTACCCCATACATTATAAGATCTTTTGCAGCACCCTAGCCTTTACCCACTAGATGCCTGTAGTAACCCCTCCTTCAGCTGTGACAGTTCTCCAGACATTGTCAGGTGTTACCAACAGGGTAGGCAGAATGAAAATTACCCCTGATTGAAAACTAAAAGTTTAAAACTGGGTAAAAAACAAGACACTAGAGCCAAACAGAAATGTACACCTATTGAAAATACAGCACAAATTTGACTCTAGTAGTGAAAATCTGAATCAAAGTGAGGTACTGTTTCCTACCTATTAGGAGTTACTATTGCGAAAGGGAAACAGGTGCAGCTGCACGTACATGTAGTCCAGTGGGCCAGGAGGACCCGAAATTTGAGCTGAGGCATTCAAGACCAGCTTGGGCAACATAGTAAGACTTACGTCTCCAAAAAAAAAAAAAAAAAAAAAAAAAAAAAAAAAAAAAAAAATTTGAGAAATATATGGAAACGTCCAAACCTTCTGAATTGCTATTAGGACTGCAGAAATGGTATAGCCATTCTGGAAAAGTTTGGTTTTCCTCAAAAAAGTTAAACATGACATTACCATATGACCCAGGATACATACTTGAAGGACTTGGGTAGTACTTACAAAGCCCTTTTCATAGTATTCGCAAGAGCTAAAAGGTAGAAATAAATTGTGTCCACCAACAGATGAATGGGTATATGTAGTGGATACGTACAAGGAAATATTAACCATAAAAAGAAAGTTCTCATACGTGGTACAATATGGTTGAACCTTGAGTGCATTATGCTAAATGAGATAGACCAGATACATGCGATTCCACTTAGATACCTAGAATAGGCAAGTTCATAGAGACATAGAGTAATTACCAGAGGATGGGGAGAGGGAGTTACGGTTACGGAACGGCTGTTTGGAATGAGGAAAGCATATAGTGATGATTGCAAAACACTGAGCATACTTAATGCCACAGAATTGAACACTTAGAAATGACTAGTATTAAAAATACTGATCTGTTTAAAAACAGCTTATAATTTATTCACTTAATGATAATTTTAAAAGGTAAAACCTGAGGACCATTCACAACGCTCATAAAATTTTAGAATATGTCTACTTGTAGAACTTTGGCATTAAACTGGGACTTGAGCTTGGTGTTGATTAATCCTGGACAAATCTCAGAAGTGGATGATCTTCCTATTCCTTGTATACACCAGACCCTAGTCTGGGCCCTGCCCTCCCTGACATGGTCTTCTGCCAGGTTCCACAAGGCTGGCTGTCTACCTCCTTCAGATGTCTCTCTGCTCAAGTCTCTGCAAGGAAGTTTTCTCTGACCCTTTTTAAAAATCTTTTCACAAAGCCTGGCATGGTGATACATACCTGTAATCCCAGCACTCAGGCGGCTGTGGCCAAGGGATCGCTGCAAGTTCAAAGCCAGCCTGAACTGCCTCGAGAGACCCTATCCGAGTGAGTGCGTATGAATGCGTGCATGGGTGCATGCCAGCCTATTCCTACCTTTACTTTTCTCCTCAGTGCTGATCACTGCCTGTCATTCTTTGCATTTTATGTCTTCCTTTGTTTAGTATTTATCTCTTCACACTAGAATGCAAGCTTTATGAGTACAGAGATTTTTTTTTCTCTAGCCCCAGCATTCACAGTAGTGCCTTGGCTCTCAACAAATATTTGTTGATTAAATAATAGAATAGTTCACTTTACCTCAGTTTCTCCACTACTGAAATGAGAAGAACATCGGTAAAATACAAATGTCAGAAGAAAACACAGAATTCCGATGCAGCCAGCCTAGCTCCAGAGCCCTTTAATTACTAAATGCTCCTCTGGTTCAAGGCACAGACCAGCTTCTGTCTCTCTACACGTAAGGGATGAGAGAGAATGGGTTCAGCTGCAGTGCC